TCGAAGATTTAGATTTTCTTAGTGAGCTAGCTGTTATTACAGATTTAACTTCCCATCTAAATAATTTAAATTTGAAGCTGCAAAAGGCCAACCAAACTATTTCAGAGTTAGTTAGTCATATCGACTCATTCCGTAGAAAATTAATATTACTTAAACATCACTTAGAAAAAGATAGCTTTCATTTTTATTCATCTTGCCAGATTTTTTTGAAGAATACGGCAAAAAGTGTAATTTTAAAAAACATCTTCACATAATTAATTCCTTAATAACCCAATTTGATACGCGATTTAAAGATTTTGAAAAACTTGGAAAGGATTTAATTCTTTTTGAGAACCCTCTGTTCAAATCAAAGAACAAAATTTAGAATTTCAGGCAGAACTTTGCGACTTGCAAAATGATCTGTTTCTTAAAACGCGGCCAGAAAAGGTGTAGAATTTTTTAAAATGTTGAACTCATCTAATTATTCCGAATTTGTTAAATTTAGTCTTCGAATCTTTTCAATGTTTGGATCCACATATTTGCGCGAATGCTCCTTTTCGAAATTAAAATATTGAGTACGTCGCCATCAACAGATTGTTCTGCCAGTTCTTTAGCAGTGGTGAATATTTTCTGAGACCACGTTTTCCAACAAGATATTCCATCATCAGATGCTGAAATTGTTTCGTAATCTTCTTCTTTCTCTACTTCGTCATCATTTTCCAATACATCATTGACAAGCTTGTTTAATAATACGGTTGACATGCCGCAAGCATAATTCTGAATGTACTGGATCGTTCGAATTATTCACGCCGATTTCTTGGCTTAAAGCTATTGTCAAAATATATTTTAATAGGTACGTAATATCCTGCATATCAGACATTTGATATATTTAAGCAATAGACCTAATGTAAAATTGGCGAACTTTTGCTGTTTATTTACGTAAACAATCCCATTTTGCGACCATTGCTATTAGGTGACTAACATCAAGCCGTAAAAAACATGCTGGCATTTTTATATTGCTGTTATCGGGCGATAAGTCTGCTTTCATAAAACAAATTTGGAAACATATTTGTAAATAGTGTTTTAGATCGGCACAGTTTGCAAAGGCTTTTGCTAGCGCAACTAATATAGCTCTACCGAAATCAGACGTTGCAATTCGTGGCATATGAGCACCTGATCTTATATATATATATAATTTAGGATAAAAAATACGTAATTATCGATGCATCTTGTTTCGAAGATACCATTTGGAAAACTGATGTACTTAGATTATTACTATTCTCGAATGCAAGAACACATTGATATAAAAATAAATGCGCAGATGTTATATTGCCATATACAATTAATTTTTTAGCCACACTACCTGTCGCATCAACTGTCATATAGCTATCCAAAGAGCGGTGTCCTGATTTATACATCTCTAATTGTTCTTTTAACCAATACATGCAATAAAAAGGATCCATTCCTATTGCACGTATTGAACCGATCTGCTCTTCATATTTGGCAACGCATAAATTAATAATTGGATTTGTATTTTCCAAGCCAACGCGTTTATCGATCTCTTGTTGCTTCGCTTTGCGTAGAACATGTTCATATGGTATAGTTGGAGATATTTTGTCACCAAATTTCATTAACAATTTTGCTTGTTCAGCTCGCCAAACTGATACAGGTTTATTAGTATCAACGAGGTGAGCAGCAACTTTTTGGCGTAAGTATCTCGCTAGAGATCTTTTTCATTTATGGGTAACTTTCGTATCAAAATCTGTTACCAAGAATTCAAAAATATTATCTCTATCTGCAACAGGTTTTGAAAACAATTTTCCGTCTATTATATCACCGCATTCGTTGCAATGTCCTTTAATGTGCACATAACATTGTGCAGGTGAACGTTTATAAATCCTACCGCTTTTAAACGTAATGGCACATGGAATATTAGTTTGAGCGTAAATTTGTTCTGCGATAATATGTGTCCATACACGTCTTTTTAGCGTCACATATTGTTTATCGCCGTAAACAAGGGATTCAGGTTTCATTGCTTCCCATTTGTCAGTTGAACCAACTAACATATCTCATACTGAGTTACATACCGAACACAAGATATCAGTATCATACAAAGTAATAGTATCCGAATAACAAAAGACAAATTGTACAACAAGACGGTTCGTCTTGTTGTACAATTTGTCTTTTGTTATTGTTAATATTGTAAATGCGTAAAACTTCTGACAGGAAGATTCCTCGATTTGTGTTTAATATAGTGTATATGTTTTTCGGATTAATGTTGCTCCCTTGATTTTTCATTTCCTCTGAGATTTTAATATAAACTTCATTACGTGGAGGTAAAATCTTCCCGTTTGAATCAATTGTCCGAAAAGATGGATTTATTAAGATTTGTAACAACATATCCTTGTCATACATTTTTGTTGCTTTTTCTATTAAATATAAATTAAAATAAAAGAATGTAAAATACAGAATTATTGCAAGAAATAATAGAAATTATATATTATATAACGGATCATTAATTACCTAATAGCAATAGTCAATCGTAGGAGAAAATCTAGAATATCACTGCATACAATCAAAGTACGTTTCAGAAGATAGTTGAGTGTGCGACGTTAATCTATCTCAGCATCTAGCTCGAAGTTGTTTTTTGCACGCACACATCGAGGTCTCGGCTCTCGGGTCTCGGTTTACCGGCTCGATAGTGGAGGGGATACGCACATTCCACCTACTGCGCGCGCCTTAGCAACGAAGCGATAAGAGTGCGTAACTAAGGAGCGCGGCACTTAGCTTCAGGAGTGTCCACGTCATATATAAAAAGTTGATTTTTAAATATTAAAAATGGTATTAATTTGAAAAATAATTGTTTTACAAGAAAAAGTTAGAAGGCTTTTCCGTAGAACTTCAACGAACGCTATACAGAATTATTCAAAAGAATGCCAGAACTCTAAAAAAAAACTTTTTAAGACACCGACAGATTTACGAGAATTCTGCTTATTTTAACAATAAAACAATTTTGATATAATTCGTGGCATGTACATTGTTCCCCCAGAGAGTTCTGATAATATTCATAGATGAGTGGCACCCGTTTGACCACGTTAATATTGACCACGGTCCCAATTGACCACGTTGAGATTGAGGTCAATATTAACGTGGTCAATATTAACGTGGTCAATATTAACGTGGTCAATATTAACGTGGTCAATATTAACGTGGTCAATATTGACCGTGGTCAATATTAACGTGGTCAATCGGGACCGTGGTCAATATTACCGTGGTTCAATCGCAACGTGGTCAATCGCAACGTGGTCAATCTCAACGTGGTCAATCGGGACCGTGGTCAATATCAACGTGGTCAAACGGGACGCTTCCGTTTACGCTTAATGGAAATTACAAGTGGATCGGCGCGTTGCCCTGGCTCGTTGGAGAGTACAATGCGCGAAAACATCGCACTATCAGTATGAGGCCTATCGATGTTACCCCCGCGATCGCCGATAAACTTTAAAATACGGTATACAGCAACGTAAAGATTGCTGCACCGGCAAGATTCAAAGTAGGCGATCCGGTACGCGTGAGTAAATTCAAAACCATTTTTGACAAAGGTTACACGCCAAATTGGTCGACCGAAGTGTTTAAGATCGTTAAAGTGCAGACTAATCCCGTAACATATGTACTCGAAGATTCGCACGTAAATCCCGACGCCGGCGGTTTTTACGAATACGAGTTACATCGCGTTGCTAATTCCAACGTACATCTCTCGTGGAAAAGTGATACGCAAAAAGGGTGACAAGGTTTATGTGAAATGGCTGGGATTTGATGCTACATACAACTCTTGGATAGATAAAAATAATATATTATAAATATGTTAACAATAATACATAATATTAAAGATATTTTACAAATATAAACAAAATTGTACACCTTGTAAAATATACATATAATTTACAATAAGTATACATATAATTTTAATTTACAATAAATATACGTGATTTTTATTTACAATAAATATACATGATTTTTATTTACAACGGTATTTTGTAATGTCCCCACGGTAGCGTGTCGGTGGTTTCGGGTACGATATACCGCTTATCACCGTACAGACTTAGAGCAATTTTTGTCTCGCGAATAGTGTATACTTCGTGTAATTTAGATCTTATACAAGACTACTGACGCGTCATTTCAATCTCTTTGTTCAAACACTGCGTGTAATCGTCGAATGTTATCGTTCTCGCGACGACGTTACTCTTGACGCCCTAAGCCCGACGAATTTGGTCATGATGGCGCCATTATTTTCATCCTTAATTAAACCCGGTATCTTTTTATTTGCGAGCGGTATACCGTACACATTGTTCACCGCATAATCGCTGGTATCGAATGTGTCGACGTTGCGCTTTATATTCTCATATACATCTTCACACTCGATGCGATATATGAGATTGTCGGTGTACATGACTTTACATTTCTCTCGATACATATAACCGTGGTATATAATCGTGGTGAAACTCGTACAAACACGTCTTGGATATGTCGTGTATATACATACCCACGTAGATTGGTTTATTAAATTTAACTTCGAGATTGCGCAATTCAACGGCGATCAGATTCTCCGAAAACACGCTTCTACTATGAAAATTTGGTTTTGCGATCATCGCCTCTGCGCCATATCTTCCATCCCAATGTGTCACGAGCTTAATATTAATATGATTGCGTACATTTTTCATCGTTTTGCCAAATACCGCATTATTCATTAATTTATATACATTTTTTCAAAATCATTTTTCCCGAGTGTTCGGAATTGTGTATTGAGTTCGATATAACTGCGAAGCCATGGAGATTGTGAAAACTGTAATACTCGATGTATTTTTGTACCGCGATGTTCTTTATAATTTAAATTGCAATTTGAATGCGCGGGACCTCTGTATCGCCCGGTCAGATGGCAATGATCGCGCATGCGTGTATCGTCTTGTACGAATGGTTTTTCGCAAATGTGGCATTGTGTCGCGTTGTGAAATTTTTCCCATTCATCAGATGTTAAATTTACCATTAGCTGATAAAATACTTTTTACACGTTGCGCTAAATTTCTTAGTTCTTCGACGAACCATGACATGCAATCGATACCGCGACGAGAAGGATACGCGGATAACGAATCGTCGTACGAGCAGTGTACATAATATGCTATGCTAAATACTTTATGATGTTGGTAGTTTCTCTCTTCCTCCGTCTTCTCCAAAACACACTCCAGATCGGCGTATACGACGAAAGGAAGCCGCTCTTTCCGATTATAATTGTTGAACGTGAGCCACTTGTCCTTATCGCTCGGTAATCGGATAGTGCACTCGTTCATCTCTCGACAGTCCACCGTATGTGATTGTAATTTGTCATTCGAATCAAAGTAGTGCAAACATCTGTAAAAGAAATACCCTTTTATTTTTTTGTTCAAAGATTTCTGCAATATAATTTATTAAATATATACGTACCGATCGCAGATATATTTCTTGTGTTCTTTTTTGCTCAATTGTGAGCTCACGAGCCTGGATAGATTCTTGATCCACGCGAAATGTCCAACGTTGTTGTCTTCCATGTACAGCAAGTTGACGTGTTTGTCTCTTTTTAGCTCACTCAGACGTATCGGGACAATGTTCTTTTCCTCGATACTATATACATTGATTGACATATCGTTGAGAAGCTCGAATTTTTTAATTTGGTTCACAGTCACTGGGAACTTAATGCCCTGGAGATTCTGCACTGTTGTATAATGTGAATACGAAGATTCTCGTTCCGCATTTCTTTCGGCTGGATATAGAGCGGCGACCACAGACCACGCGAAACACGCATTGTCTTTGGATTGCACGTTGATCACCGCTCTCTTCATTATTATCGCCCGCGGTAATTTTATGTGACATCCCGCGCGCATAGGATTATATTTGTAACGGGTGTACTTTTTATGAGCTCGCGGATTCGCTCGGTCGTGATCAGTGCTCGTAGAAAGTATTGAGACACACGACGTAATTAAAATATAAAGAAAGGTTACTTTATTAGCCTATATCGGCGCGAAATAATAATACAGTAATGCGTTACTGACGGGGCGCGGCTGTTATCAATTACGCGAGTCTAACAATGAGATGCGGTATAGTATACGCAACGCGGATATAAACACGCCAGGTAGGCGGCGCGGGGCGCGCGGTCGGTTTGTTGTGACGGCGCGTGGTTCACAAAAACGTGTGAATCGGTTTAAATCGCCGAGACGATTTCTTAGGCGTATGCGGTACTATTTATATCGCGTATTCCCAGATGTTATGGGATGCGTGCGATATCGAGAAATCTCGAACGGGCAGCGAACTCGCTGTCCCTTGTTTGCACGCGGAGTACGGATTGACCAACGGTGTTGAGAAAACTCAACGGGGTGGCGAACTCGCCAGCCCACGGTTCGTCTGGTCGGATCGGTCGGAAGGTAGATCGTTTCTCGAGAACTCTCGAGGGAAGCGATCTCGGATTGCTAAGCATCGTAAAGCGGTTCGGAAGCCGAGAATGCTCGGCGGAGGCTGCGAACTCGTCAACCTCACGTACCGTCGTGTTTGCGATTTATTAGGATCGGATCAGGAAAGTCTCGAGCGTACAGATCGAGCGGATTCGTTTCTGGTACGATTCTGGTGCCGGGATCTAAAAAGGCTGCTGTTATATACCCGAGCGATTAACGGTACCCGCGTCAGTTCACGGCAGCGCTCGGCGGTATTCGGCTTTCCGAATTTCGGCGGCCGTACGGTTGTTTATCGCAACGGTATTTAACGTTTAAAAATGTGCGCTCGGCGCCCCTGCCTCTGCCCGGCCGATGTTCGCCGGGCGGCAGACTTCCGGCGGTCTACTGCCGGGTAACAATGTGTCACCATGAGGGGTGCATTGTTACATCCCCCCCCCCCCCCGCCTACTGTGCCTGAATTTTGAGGCACTCGCTCGCTTTACTCAATTTTTCGGCGGTAGCGCAGCTTTCCGTCGCTGTCGAACCGCAAGGTCCATCGTCCTTGCGGCATCCGGACTTTATATCGCCGGGACACGTGAACCGCGAAATGCGGGATCGGCGCTACAAGTCCCGGCTCCAGTTCCACCATGATCGGAGGTGGCGGCGCAGGCCCTATCGGGACCAGGATTTCGGGGCATGGGGGGGGGCGGGTGGTGTTTCCCCCGTTGCTCGGTCCTCCGGTGCTGGCTCCTGACCCGATGGCGACCTTGGTCGCTTGGCTGGCGGCTTCATCGGTGTTGGCGTCGTTCGGCGCCGGATGCAGGCGGTTAGCGGCGGCGGCGGTGTGGCCAACATGGCCAGCTTCCGCTGGGTCGTCCTGTCGGACCGCTGGATGGCGGTGCCGATTTTCGGCGGCCTAGGTGGTGGTGGCGGCCGGACGATCGGTCGTTCTTCTAGCACGCCTGTGCCATACGGCGGCTCGGGCTCTCCCAAAATATCGTTGATTGCTTCTAAGATGTCTTTCTCGATATTCATCTCGCAGGCTTCTGAGCTCGTGATCTTTTTTGGCTGTTCTCTTTTCCTCGGATTTCTGCTTTTTAATTCGTGGTGGGATTGTTTTCTTCGACGTCTTTTTCATCTTCCCCGTCATTGTTTTCGTCAATATTGTTGTTATTTTCTTCCGGATCCTCTGTTTCGTTGTTATTGTCGTCGGTGTTATTGTTTTTATTTTCGCCGGGAGCGGGTTTCATTGTTTTTATTTTCGCCGGGAGCGGGTTTCAGATCTTGTATATGTATGTGACGATACCATTTCCCGCGTTTGCTCCGGAGATCGACGATTACCGGCGAAATAAACCGACGTACTTCTAGCGGCCCGATGAACTTTGGCGCGAGTTTTGCATTAAATGCGTTTGCTCTGTTGGATAGCGGGTAATTTCGTTTTCAAACATATTCGCCTATCTTTGGTCGCCATTCTCGCCGTCGTAGATTGTAATAACGTTGTTGCCTTTGGAATCCTCTGGCCAGGTTGATCCGTACGACTTCCTCGGCGTTTCGGAGTTTTTGTCGGACGATGTCGGGTTCCGGGGCCTCCGTAGGTGTTGGGAGGGCGGGGGCGGGTGGTACTAATTCGCGACCGTGATTCAAATATGCTGGCGTGTATCCGGTGGCGTCGTGCGTGGCGGTGTTGTACGCAAATTGCAACGCAGGGAGGTGTTCGTCCCATCCGCG